GAATTCGCACAGCCATCGATTTTAACCAATGGATACGTTCTGTCTATGCCCAAGGTCGTGGATAAAAAATACCGATTGATGCTTCTATACCCAACAATCAATACTTGGAAGCAGGTGGTACTGTAATTTAATAAATTAGCAATGGATCCCCTAGAAACCTATGCTGTATTGGGAAACTGCCTCTCCATTGGAAATACGACGGTTTGTCAGTAGAAAGACTTAAGGAAATTGGACGAGACAAGCTGCATTCCTAGACTGCTAAAAGGAGGCCACTCCTTTTGTGACTACCTAAAAGCTCTGCAGGTATGCACGTTATGCGTCGAGCATAAATGAACAAAATTCAAAGAGCAATAAAATTAATAAAGAAATATTGTGCGCGAGCCGGGGAAAAATTTTTTTGCCCAGTGTGTTTTATTCCAAGTGATTTTTACATCCAAGCATATATGCATGTATGCACATATGTATGTCAAGATCACAATTTGAAGTAAAAAGCCCAACATACTAATTTCACTATATTTGCAATAAACACATCATCCACTAAAATTCCGCATCACAAATCTATGCATGCTCTTATAATATTTCCAGCTGATATTGATATCCATTTTAACTCGGTGTTTTGCCGGCTCAAGGTTTGTGCCCTAATCGATTCGGGCTCCGATCAGAACGCCTATTCAGGCTCATTAAGCTTTCGTTTCGCCTAATTAACGCCAAGGTCTCCGGTTTAAATCAGACCGTTTCCGCCCAGTTCTCCAACCAAACCCGACCTGCAGCAAAATACAGCAGCTTATGTGCTGCCGGAATTAGCAGGCAATCTTCCATCGTGTCCAATTCCAAAAGACCCACTGTCTGGCTTGCCTAATCTTCCTCTGGCAGACCCAACGTTCTCTGAAGTTTCCTGATATTTTGCCATCCGTGCTGCTGAGCGGCACAAGAACACATATCTGCGGCACTCTCCTCGGTCAGGAAACCATTTTCGGTTGGGTGCTTACAGGCCCAGTGTCCAGTACACCAAACCATGGTCTCGGCGTTTACAACCCAGATCAGCGAGACGGCAGATAAAGAGTTAAATAAGCTTTTGAGGTCTTTTGGGTTTTGGGAGGTGGAAGATCTACCAATTAAAATGGTAAATGAGTCGGATTCCTATTGCGAAAGCAATTTCCGTCGAACTACAACAAGGGACCAGAGCGGTAAATACGTGGTAACGTTACCATTTCGCGATCCAGACATTTTGGGTCCAGTTTGGGGTACTCGAGATCCATCAGTTTCTCAGTTTCTTCGAAATGAGAATAGATTGAAAAGAGACTTTTCTTTAAAAGAGCAATACGACTCCGTCATTCAGGAGTATCTGGATTTAGACCACATGAAAGAAGTACCTCCGACTCAGGACACTCCGTCCTACTACCTTCCACATCATGCGGTCATAAAGCCCAAAAGTACCACTACGAAACTGCGAGTGGTATTTAACGCATCCAGCCCTTCAGCAAATGGGACCAGTTTGAACGATGTGCTTCATGCCGGCCCAGTCCTACAATCTGATCTAACGATTCAGATTTTAAAGTGATGTTTTTCCAATACGTCTTTAGTGCCGACATTACAAAAATGTATCGATAGATCTGGGTTGATCCAAAACACACGCCTTTCCAAAGAATTCTGTTCCGAAACAAGGAAGAAGAATTACGCGACTACGATTTGAAGACGGTCACGTTTGGGGTCAATTGCGCGCCTTTTCTGGTATTTCGAGTCCTCCAGCAACTGGCGAGTGACATCGAAATTCAATATCCAAGGACTAGCCATATTATTCGGCAGCATATGTACTAGGCATTGTAAGGAGTTGTAAAACTCCTTACAATTTCGAGTGCAGGGGAGCTGCATAGCAACGGAGGCGCTGTATTCAGAGGAAAAAGGGATTTAACGGCTCTCAGGACTTTGGACTCAATGCTGCGGTGAGTCTGCAGACTTTGGACCCAATAACGGTGAGTCTGCGGACTTCGGACCCGCGCAAAGAGGAGGGACCGTTAACTAACGGTACCGTTCTGGACTTTGCATCCGTTATAACGGTGAAGTTCTGGACTTTGTACCCGTTATAACAGTGAAGTTGGAGGACTTTGGACCAGCACAAAGAGGAGAGACCGTGAACTAACGGGACTTGTCCTGCACTTTGGACCCGATCACGCCACCGATGGAGGGAAACTACGGGACCAGGATGGCGTATAAAAGGAGGACGCGTGCAGACAGTCAGGACAGTCAAGTGAAAATCGTGCAACGAGATCGAACCAACGCGAGTGAAACCCAAGGAAAATACCAAGTGCCATTAAATCCGGAGTCAAGATCGCCGAGTCGAGAAGCCCAACGACGGTCACGTCTACATAAGCTGAGACTGCCAAGCTGAGATCCCAAGGGTACGAGGTAAGTTGTAGGGTGCGTCTACGAGTCTCGAAATCGACGAAGTTGGTGGAGTCTTGGCAGTGGATGTTGTGCGAAAGGTACCCGGCGTCGGTTCACATGAAAGAGTGAGGACCTGCTGAGGGCCAGGCCGACGAAGATCCAATGGAGTTGTGCGAAAGGTACCCAGTGTCGGTCCTCACGAGAGTGAGGACCTGCCGAGGCCCAGCCGACGAAATCCCGACCGACTTCAGGGTGGAGCGTGGAGTGTTGACTCCAGCAACGCTGCTTAGCCCTCCAGTAAGGTTTTCTGCTCAATATCCGCCAAGTTGTGAGAGACTCGTAGCGAGCCTAGTACGCGACCGGTGCCCGAAAGACTCGGCAAGGCGGAGGACACACGACAGGCGTGCCGCCGTAGAAGTCGACGTGGGAACCACTACCGGCGTCAGCGAGGGCGTTAGATTCATCAGCGATCGGAGCCAGAACCACGAATACTTTATTGTAAATCCACAAGCAATAAACCCAACCCACATATTCTAAATCTAACCTAACTCTGCGTTCTTCTTTGGTCTCGGGGTCACGCAACAATAAATTTGGTGGGACGAACACACAAACTCAACTGAGCTAGCCGCACGTTTACGTAGCGAGCGGAGACATAAAAAGCAGTTCGTTACATCTGGCGCCCAAGCGTGATACTCAGACCAAAGAAACCAGAAAATAGGTTTAGAATGGGGAAGTCCTGGTTATACAACCTTAAAAAGGACGATTTCCAGGCGATCGCAAGCGCCCTAGGCATCGAGCTAGAGGGCCTTGTAGAGGACATGAGGCGGACACTGGCCGAATTCATCGACCATTCCGAGCATGATCATGATGCGCTGGCAATTCCGGCGGCCCTGGAAAGGGATTACGCCAAGTACCCGTCGGTCGGCCTGAAAGTCACCGGAGCCGAGGGCCTGGTGCGCAGCCTGGACGTGAGCAGCATGCAGAACGCCGGCAGGAGCAGCAGCCGCGACCGACGAGAGAGCAGCAGGGAGAGGAAGAGCGACAACCGCGAACAACGTGCGGAGAATGACAGACCCGGACAGGATTATGCCAAGATCGCAAAACAAGTCAGGAAGTGGAGTTTCCGTTACGACAGGAATGAGAAGCCCCTGGAGTTCCTTGAACAAGTGGAGTGGTCGGCCATGACGTACGGGCTGGACATCAACCAAATTCCGAGGGCGATGCCGGAGCTCCTTCAGGGCAGAGCGCTAAAATGGTTCATCGCTAATAACAGGAGACCTGGGGCGGATTTAGCCAGAGCTTCCAGGAGTTCTTCTTGCCCAGGGGATTCATGAACAAACTCGCAGATCAGGTCAGGCAGAGGAAGCAGAACTACGGCGAAAGCTTCAAGGACTACATGGTAGACATGCAGACATTGATGCGACCCCTGGGCTTGAACAAGGACGAAATCTTGGAGCGGATTAAGGAAAACAGCACCCCGACACTACGGCTGTTTATCCGCCCCTACAGGTGCCAGAACCTGGATACCCTGATGGCATTAGCGGACGAATTTGAGGAGCTCGACCAGCAGAGGGAACGGTTCGAGCAAGAAAATGTCACAAAAGCCCGATACCATGCGCCGGCCACGAGGAGGGAATCAGCAGCAACGTGCAGGCGCTGTCAGGAGGAGCCAGACGAGCGTAACGCACGGCCGGGGTATGTGAATAATCCATCCCAGGCATGCCGGAGATACGGAAGCCAAGACCACTGGGCGAAAGAATGACGCAACAGAAGAATTGCATTCTGTATGAGATGCGGAAAAATAGGCGTCATAATCGGCGAATGCTGCGCACGAGCGGGAAACGCCAAGCGACCTCAGCCACCGAGGTGCGGCCAGGGATCGCAAGGTGCTGCCTCTCGAAACTAATGGGCGACCTGAAGGTGGAAGAGATGCAGCTGTCCGCCACAGTGCTCATAAACAAACGAAAAGTGAAGGCCACGGTGGACACTGGCGCCACGGCCAGCTTTATAAGCGAAGAGTTGGCGGTCGTACCGACGAGAAGGCAGGTGCGCATGGCAGACGGAAGATGCGGGAGCATCCAATCACAGCTGGAGATAGTGGTTGGTCTCGGGACGAGAAAGGTGTTGATGCAGTTATTAATCCTCCCAAGAGTGATAGACGCCCTAGTATTGGGCTGGGATTTCCTCACAAAAATAGGAGCGGAGATAAAATGCGCAGGACTCGAGGTGGCGATACCAGCAAGGAAGCGCAGACTAGGAATGCTGGAAGAAAGGCTGTCGGTGGCAGTGGTAGAAACACCAGAACAGTTTTCGGAAGAGGACATCGCCAAATTCCCGAAGGAGGAGCTGAAGAGTCAAGCGGAGTATCAAACATAGCCGTCCACAAGATCACGATGAAGGACGACCAGCCAGTGAAGCAGCGGTACTACCCAAAAAACCCCAAAATGCAGGGGGAAATAAACGAAAAGGTAGACGAGCTGCTGGAAAAAGGATGCATCGAGCCGTCAAGAAGCCCGTACAGCTCTCCGATCGTCATGGTAAAGAAGAAGACGGGAAAATGGAGGCTGTGCGTAGATTTCCGACAAATCAACGCAAAGTCGGTAAAGGATGCGTACCCGATGCCTATGATCAATTACATCCTGGATCAATTAAGGGAGGCACGATACATCAGCAGCCTGGACTTAAAGGATGGATACTGGCAAATACCGCTGGAAGAGAAGAGCAGGCAGTATACCGCGTTCACCGTCCCAGGAAAGGGTCTGTTCCAGTGGAAGGTGATGCCATTCGGGCTGCACTCAGCGTCGGCTACGTTCCAAAGGGCGCTCGATCAGGTCATAGGGCCTGAGATGATGCCGCACGCCTTTGCGTACCAGGACGATATTATCGTCATCGGACGGACGCTGGAGGAGCATAAAAGAAACCTGAGGGAAGTGTTCCGAAGACTGCGATCAGCGAACCTGAAGGTGAATGTGGAGAAGTGCAAGTTCTTCAGGAAGGAGCTGCAGTACTTGGGACATCGCATCACTGACCAGGGAATTGGAACTGATCCGGAGAAGGTAGCGGCGATAGCGTTGCTGGAACCCCCAGCCAACGTTAAGGAGCTGGGCAATACTTGGGAGTGGCATCGTGGTACCGACGCTTTGTACCCGACTTCGCCACGCTAGTCCAGCCACTAAATGCCCTACTCCGGAAGAAGGTGAAATGGGAGTGGACCGACGACCACCAGAAGGCATTCGAGGCAGTCAAGGCCAGGCTGGTCGCAGACCCAATCCTGGCATGCCCAGACTTCACGAAGACGTTCGTCCTGCAGACAGACGCCAGCGACTATGGGCTTGGCGCCATACTCACGCAGCATTCAGATCAAGGCGAGAGAGTAATTTCATGTTCAAGTCGCTCCCTAAATGGAGCGGAAAGAAATTACTCTGCAACTGAAAAAGAATGCTTGGCAATTGTATGGGCCATAAGGAAGTTGCGGAAATGAGAATCAAGGTGGCGCAGAACCCGAAAAAATACCCGGATTACATGCTGGAAGGCGATCAGATGTATCGCCACATACCCCGCAGGGCGGGGAACGAGGACGTGGTCGCGTGGAAGCTATGCATACCCAGAGGATCAATACAGAGGGTGATAGCAGAAAATCACGACGCACCAACAGCCGGTCACTTGGGCAGCAGGAAGACAATCGCAGGAGTGACTGCGAGGTACCACTGGCTGGGCATGCACAGAGACATCAAGGCCTACGTACGTAGCTGTGAGAGGTGCCTGAAGTACAAGCCGAACCAGCTGCAGGCGGCAGGCAAGATGTTGACGCAGATTCCCGAGGAGCCGTGGGCGACAGTGTGTGCCGATTTCGTCGGCCCACTGCCACGGTCAAAACACGGGAATGCCATGCTGCTCGTGCTGGTGGACCGAGTTGGTGCCGATGCGGAAGGCGACCACGGAATCACTGCAGAAGGCGATAAGGGAGAGAATCGTCTCGAGGTATGGCGTCCCGAAAATCCTAATCACGGATAACGGGGTGCAGTTTACCAACAGGTTCTTTAAAAAATTCCTGGAAGAGTTGGGTGTGCGACACCAGTTTACTGCGCCATATATGCCTCAGGAAAACCCGACAGAAAGAGCAAACAGGACAGTAAAGACGATGGTCGCCCAGTTCGCGGGGGCCGACCAGAGGACCTGGGACGACAAATGGCCAGAACTACAGCTGGCGGTGAATACCAGTATAGCGGAGTCCACGGGTTACTCGCCAGCGTTAGTCACCCAGGGTCGAAAACCCAGGCTGCCAAAAGCTCTTTTCGACGAGCACACAATTGGGACCGGAAAGGCGACACAAGCACCGAAGGAAAATGCACAAAAACTTTCGGAAACTTTTGAACTCGTCAGGCGTAACATGGGGAAGGCAGCGCAGGATCAGGCACGACACTATAACCTGAGAAGGAGGCCATGGACGCCGAGGATTGGCGCAAGGTCTGGGCCAAAGAGCACCACCTGTCTAAAGCAGTGGAAGGCTTCGCGGCGAAATTGGCCCACATATATGACGGGCCATTCACAATCACTAATTGTGCGCGAGCGACTGGAGCGCGAGAAGCGGGACAGAGGAGGGTACTTTGGAGCGCGATAGCGGGTCAGAGGAGGGTATATACACAAGCCGAGAAAAAAAACGCGACCGGAGGTCAGCAGCAGCAACAACAACAACCGCAGCGGCAGCAACAACAACCGCAGCGACAGCAACAACAACCGCAGCGACAGCAACAACAACCGCAGCGACAGCAACAACAACCGCAGCGGGAGCAACAACGGCGGCATCAGCAGCAGCACAACTACAGCAGCGGAAACAACTCAGGCCGAGGCGGAAGGCCGCGGCCAGCGGAACAGCCAGGGGCGAAAGGGGGCCCCGGCGCTTGTCGTCGGTCCTTCAGCTACTGGCGTCCCCGCTGGTGGTGCGATCCCCGCCGCCGGTCTGGCATGCGCCGGAAATGGGGACAGGAGCCGTGGGGGTCGAGATGCCACAGTCAAGATGCCGAACGACCAGGTAGGGTCTATTAAGCTGAGACTGTCCGGCTGAGATCCAAGAGGCCCTTGGCCGCACTCAGGAGTTGGAGGTTGAAGTGGCGGGTCGTCCAACGTTGAAGGCAGCAACTCCTGTGGTCAGCGACGGCTGGCGGTGTTAGCTGTGGGGGCAAGAAATAACACACTCGGCGATCGCGAAAATAAAAGTACTTGGAAATTTCGGGTATAGCGCGGACCGGCCGGGCGTTTATTCAGTGCGTTGACGTATTGGAACTAATTTAAGCTATTCTAAGCTAGGCGCTTGGAGGCGCAGCGGAGACTTCTCGCGCTCGGGGAGTGGAGAGCCTGGACGGCCGAGCGCGACATGCTCCAAGCTTCGGGAGAGGGAGAGTGCGGTGTGGGGAGAAGCTCCGGGAGAGGGAGAGCGGGAGAGGCCTGAACATTCCGCCCCCCTTACAACCGCTGGCGTTGCAACATAATTAGCCCTGGTTGCAGGCGCCGGACAGGATCCAGCCGAAGATGGTCTTCTGGGCCACCGGCAATCCCTCGGCGACCAGGTGGAATCCTGGTTGGATGACCTTGGCGTAGACATCCGCACCCAGGACCATGGAAATCGACGCCGCAGATAGAACCGCTTGTCACCCAGCGGAAGGTCATTGTAGCGGCCGACGACAGACTCGTCGATCGCTCGGATGGGGGTGCGGACGCCGACGCCGGGTTCGATCTTTAGGACGACATCCAACGCAGCCCCCTCGACGACCTTCGATCGGAGGATCGCCGTGCACACCCTTTCCTTTCCGACATTGGTGGTCGGCAGACGAAGGCTGGACGCCAGGGTGGCGTCGATGCAGCTTTGAGGCGAGCAGGGGTCTATGAGAGCCACGGTGTCCACGATCTTCGGACCCGCCTCCAGGGTGACCAAAGCCGTTGGAAGGACGTTGACGACGTGGTGCTGAAGGAGGGTTGCCAGCGTCGGAGCAGCGCGCGCTGCGCGAGTCGAGGGCTCTGGTGTCGAGGATGCTGAGCGCGGTGGAGAAGCAAGCGCTCTGCGAGTTGGCGGATCTTGCCGGCGCGAACGCTGCTGAGAAGCGGAGCCCCTTTTGGAAGGCTTGGAAGGCTCGGTGATGTGGAGCAGCGTGTGATGCTCCTCATCGCACGCTCTGCACCGGTCACCGCTACGGCAGTCCCCTTGCGAATGCTCGTGGGCAAGGCAATTTGCGCAGTACTTATTAACCAGAACTGCCCGTAGCCGCTTCTCCGCGCTCAGCTTGAGGAACCTCTGGCACCTCTTTAGAGGGTGGATCCCCCGGCAGACTCGGCACCGGTAGGACTGCGTGCCTCGAGTCCGCCTGCTCTCCAACACTTGAACGTTCTGCTTACGCGGAGCCATTGTCTACGGATGTCGGCGTTGGATCATGAAAAAGAAAAAAAACACAGGAAGATGTTTTATAATGGAAAGATTCGGGCCTTACGAACTACGGACAACGAAGTATGGATTACTGGGTAGAAGTTTGGGGAGCCTCTCCGGGAAGGAGAACAATTTTGGCTACTGGACGCCGGACAATGCCGCGCGGGATGTCGACTACGCGGACGTTGCCATCGGCTCCAGGAAAGACGGAGTCGAATCTACCGAGTCGCCACTCATTTGAGGGCAGATTGTCGTCTTTGATGACGAGCATGTCCCCGACCCGCATATTCTCGGTGAGACACTTCAACTTGTTGCGCTTGTGGAGCTCTTTAAGGTACTCGTCCTTCCATCGAGCGCGGAATTGCTGATGGAGAGCTTTCAAGTGTTGCCACCGGTTCAATATGGTCTTGGATTCCCCCTTTACTTCGGGGCTCCACTATGGATAGAAGAGGGCCGCCGACAAGAAAGTGCCCTGGTGTCAACGCTAGAAGATCAGTGGGATCCTCTGACATGGGAGATAGCGGTCTGGAGTTTAGACAAGCTTCAATCTTCGCTAGCAGAGTGGCAAGTTCTTCAAAGGTAGACTTCCGCGTAGCTGTGCATTTATAGAACAACGCCTTGAAGCTCTTGACACCAGCTTCCCATAGGCCGCCCATATGGGGTGCTCCTGGCGGAATGAAATGCCAGTCGGGCTGCTGATGACTATACGCATCAGTCACAGACTCTTTAACGGCCTGGAGAAAATCTCGGGACAGTAATGTGGCAGCGCCAACAAAGGTCTTCCCATTGTCCGACTGCACTTGGCGAGGACACCCTCTTCTGGATACGAACCGAGCGAATGCCGCAAGAAATTTCTCGGTCGTCAGATCTGAAGTAGGCTCCAAATGGATAGCCTTGGTGGAGAAGCAAACGAAAACCAACACATACCCTTTAGTAATAAGGCAGGCTCTGCCAGTGTAATTCTTTATGTCGAAGGGCCCTGCGTAGTCCATACCCGTGTACGTGAATGGACGGGAGAATGACACTCGTTCTCTTGGCAAATTTCCCATCATCTGACTTTGCAATCGCTTTTTGTAGATCACGCAGACCTTGCAGGCATTGATAACTGCCTTCACCAAGTTTTTAACTCTCGGAACCCAATATCTGGAACGGGTGAGACGTACCACCAACTGATTACCCCCGTGTAGCGTAATGAGATGGGTGAACTTTACCAGAAGCCGAGAGAGTGAACATTCGTACGGGAGGATTATCGGGTGTCGTTCATCGTAACCCAAACTTTCAGAGGCTGTGACACGGCCGCATGCCCTTATCAGCCCCCCTGATCTAGGAAAGGGTTTAAGGAGAGGATCGAACTGGAAGGGGGCGCCGGAAGCTTCTGACTCAAACAGCGATACTCGTTCGTTAAATACCTGCGCTGAGTGCAGAGAATCATGAGCCGTTCGGCGGCGACAAGTTCCTTGGCCTCCAGACGGATCTCTGAAAGCGGCGATTGTTTCTTGCACCGATTGATAAAACGCTGGACATACGCGAGGACCCGCAACGCTCTATCCAATTTGGAAAAACGATCAAGGAAGTCTTCGTTCGGAATATATGCTACGTGGGCTTTGACTGGTCGCTTTTCGATCTCGGTCACGGGAAGGTCGGTCCCCTGGCTAGGCCATTGGCTGCGTGGCTTTTGCAACCAAATGGGTCCATGCCACCACAGAGAACTACCGACAAGCTCTGGAAGGGCTACCCCTCGACTAGCCAAGTCAGCGGGATTATGTTCGGATTGAACGTGTGACCAGTTGGCTGCCTCTGTGGACTGAGTGATCTTCGTCACTCTGTTGGCAACGAAAGTAGTCCAATGGCAAGCTGGTTTTGCTAACCATGCCAACACAATAGTGGAATCGGTCCAGCAGTGGAGACTCGAATTCAGCATCGGCATGCTGGGAAGGATCGCTTCAGCCATTTCGGCTAGCAGTACAGCTCCGCACAGCTCTAGGCGAGGAAGCGACACAGTTTTGACTGGCGCAACACGCGTCTTGGCGGTGAGCAGGTGTACCATCGTGGTATGTCCCATCTCTACGCGCACGTAGATCGCAGCGCCGTAGGCTTTCTGCGAGGCATCACAAAATCCATGATGCTCTAAGCGGAATTCTGGGCGAAAGGAAACCCATCTTGGAATCCGGACCTGATCAAGGACCGAATAGCTCTGAAGAAAACTGTGCCACCTTTGGCACAACTCAGATGGCAGCTTATCGTCCCACCCCAGCTCCTGAAACCAAATCTCTTGCATAAAGATCTTGGCACACACAACAAATGGAGCGAGCCAGCCTGCTGGATCAAACAGTTTGGCAATTTGGGAAAGCACCTGGCGTTTTGTGGGGGAGATTTCTGTGGGTAGATCTGGGGGGACGAAGAAAAACTCATCGGACGTCGCTCTCCACCGTACACCGAGAGTCTTGGCTGTACTTTCAGTGTCGAGATCCAGGAAATCGCTGTTCAGAAGATGACCGGCTTGGATATGAGCTAACACCTCTTTGTTGTTGGACGTCCATTTTCTTAACGGAAAGCCCGCGGAGTCTAGGGCACTCTGTAACTCCTTTATTGTGAGCTGAGCATCTTCAGCAGAGTCAGCTCCCGAAAGGACATCGTCTACATACATTCCATTACGAATGACTTTGCTCGCTCTTGGATGGTTGAGCTGCACGTCAGTCGCCAGCTGTTGTAGGACTCGTATCGCCAGGAAGGGCGCACAATTAATCCCGAAAGTTACCGTCTTTAACTCAAAATCTCGAATGTACCCCTCGCTGTTTCGGAATAAAATGCGTTGGAACGGGGTATGCTTCGGGTCTACCCAGATCTGTCGATACATTTTCTCGATATCGGCACTGTAAACGTATCGGAAATATCGCCACTTCAGAATTTGAATGGTTAGATCGGACTGTAAGACCGGGCCAGCATGAAGGATATCATTTAGACTGACCCCATTGTCTGAAGGGCTGGAGGCATTGAACACCACACGAAGCTTGGTGGTCGTACTTTCCGGCTTGAGCACGGCATGATGCGGAAGATAATAACTCGCAGAATCATGGGTAGGAAAGACCTCTTTCATGTGGTTGAGATCGAGATATTCTTGAATGACGGTATCGTACTTCATTTTCTGTTGGCTGTCCCTTTTTAAACGCTGCTCGTTTCTTAAGAATTGAGCCAACGCGAAG